AGTGCCTTCACCTGGAAATCAGTAGAATGTTAGCAGTCCAGACTCAAACTTTGTAAAAAACTAGTGGAGAAAAGGAAGTCCCTCACAGTAACCGGTACCATAATCAAGACAGAATGTTTCCAGAATAAATGGAGTTATCTGCTTTCAGCCCCAGGTGGTAGCTATTCTCTGCCCTGATGATATGTGATAATAATTTCTGATCCTCATGTCTTAAAATGGAGTCACTCATCTCCAGTAGAATTAAGTCTACAGTGAAGTTGTCCCCTCATCCCCAAAGAGATAAACACATATGAATGGGCTGAGGTGATAACAATTATTGCTGTCTGAGATCATGAGAGACCTGAAGTGAACTGATAGGATGTGAAAGGTGACTGAGAACAAGAGAATGGACCCATCTGCAGAGGATCATAAAACCAGCAGAGATAAGATCTTGTCTAAGATGTTTTCAAAAGCTTTGTCCATGAGAACTGTAAGGACTTCTCCAGACCTGTGGCTGCTGCTATGATCTCTGCCCCAAAGGAGCATCTGACCATCATCCAAAGGGCTTCTGGACCCACTGGATTCTTCTGGAGGTACATTGGTCTCTTGAGCCATCACTGTGGTTTTTTATTTCCTTTATTCCTGCCTGTGTGAAGAATGACAATTGCCTAATGGATGGTGTGAATGAATACCTCTTGTCAAATGGTAAATCTGAGTATATATAATTGGCTGCCATGTTACTGTGAAACTTCACAGCTTCAGTCCGTGTCAGCACAACTAGGCAGCTTGTACCCAATGCTCATATCAGTGGGCATCGTCTACAGGCACCTAATGACTCAGGTACTTTAGCAGTCACTGATGAGTGTATCTCCAAGGAATAGTCCAACAGCACATGGCTGGCCTGACAGACGGTAACTATATGTCTAATCCAGGGTCATACTGAGTGGACATCTGCCAACCAGAGGTCATTCCCACTGCCTGCCATTGAGCAGTTCAAAAGTGACTGGTGTAAGCAGACATGAGTGCACTTGCTCAAGTCACTATTTGCCTCTTCCAAGGGCATCATACTTAGGATCTAGGTAATTGTGCCTTATTGGAGTCCTACACATTTCACTTGCAAATTATATTTGAAAATTAGAGTAAATTACTATTTGCTAGTCATGCACAAAACAGTTTTTAAAATTGCAATTCCAGAACCCACATTAACATCCAGTGACCCATAGAAAGCAATAGAGAAATGTATTAAATGTTCTGGCAACTATGTTGCTAGTCATTCACAAAACAGTTTTTAAAATTGCAATTCCAGAACTCATATTAACACCCAGTGATCCATAGAAAGCAATAGAAAAACGTATTAGGAAAAATGTCCTGGCAGAGTCTGGCACTGGCTTGGTTACCCAACCTCAGGCATTGGTCACATTAACTGACAGAGTTAAGAAAAATAGAAAGTACCAGCCTTGTTACTCAAGACGTTAGGAACTATGAATCGATTTAGATAGATAAAGAATTTTAGCTATCAAAATATTACAGTGTCATCCTGAAAAATATGTACCTCTTCCAGAGAACCCAGGAGGTTATGATGACCCCTGGAAAGCCCAACCAGCAATAACAGTGAAAGTTACATAGGTGCATGAGTGCAGAAATACAGTCTCTACTGAAAATAAGTTTTATACTCGGCAAGAATTACCGGATATACATAGAACTTCTGCCCATGAAGTAAAATCAGATATACAAATTACATATGGTTTAGGGGTTAATGGTGGTGAATTCATTATGCTTACAGGAAGCAAAGGAGGACCAATGACTGGAATAGCAAAGTACTCCAGGATTCATGTTGAACTAATTGCTAGAGCAAAAATATCCAACATCGTCCTGACTTATGATAGGAAAGGAGTAACAGAAGTTGGATGAGACAATACCCAAACATGATTTCCAGGTTTACCTAAACAATGGAAGACTGTAGATGACGCCATTAAGATTTCTCAAGAATATGGAAGATTATTATTCACTTCTGATGGGACCTTGTAAGTTACCTGAAAAAAATTCGCATGAAAAACAACTTTTACAAAATGTCAAGTTATGCTACAACATTCACATAATATACAGTACAACCCTGATCTCTTGGCTGTCATAAAATATTTCTTACCTCTAAACCAAAGTTTCATTTTGTAATTTAATTTTTTTCATTTTTCCTGTACTCTTAGCTTAAGAAAAGGTTATTGCAGGCTGGGCATGGTGGCTCACGCCTGTAATCCCAGAATTGTGTGAGGCTGAGGCAGGCGGATCACCCAAGGTCAAGAGTTCGAGACCAGCCCGACCAACATGGTGGAACCCTGTCTCTCTCTACTAAAAATACTAGAACTAGCTGGGTGTGGTGGCAGATGCTTGTAATCCCAGCTACTGGGGAGGTTGAGGCAGGAGAATCACTTGAACCCAGGAGGTGAGCAAAGATAGTGCCATTGCACTCCAGCGTAGGCAATAGAGTGAAACTCCATCTCAAAAAAAAAAAAAAAACAAAAAAAAAAAAAAAAAAAAAAATATATATATATATATATATATCAACAACAAGAAAGAAAAGATCATTGCAAACTTTTTGTTTGTTTTTCATATATGCTTGCAGAGGGTTGTAAAATTTTATTGCCATTATTCGTGCTTTAAGCTTTTCTAATCTTTCTTTAGCAATTGTGGAATAGCATGCTATTTCCTTTCCATATTCAATTGTTTCTTCTGTATTTATTACCCTAGCTATAGGATTCTGTCTTTTGAACCTCCCCTGCAGTTAGGTATGGCCATGTCACTAAGTTTTAAGCCAATAATTTGTAAGCAGTGTGCTATGAGTACCTTCTAAAAATCCTTCCTCCTTCTTTTCTCCCTCATTTTCATTACAATAGTGTGGAGTGAAGATCCAATAGCTGAAGATCAATAGTCATCTTACATAATGCAGGCAGGGGTGACGGGCAACACGGTCTGTTAACTCCCTTACTGGAAGAGAAATTTCACAAGACTAAGAACCTTTCGTTAGTTCAAGCAATATCCCAGCACTTACACACAGTGTGCAGCATGTTTGCTAAGGGCTCAGGTATTAAATGGGTATTGAATGAATAGATGTATTAATTGGTTTAATCTGGAGTCATAAGTAAACAAGGTTTCAGCTCATTTCACAGAATCAAACTCCCGATTAATTCAAATCACACTAATCTGTTTCTCTTTGTTCTCTCAGACTTGCCAATGTCATGGGCGGATAGGAATTTTTCTTAATTTACTTCAATATTGCATTAAATCAAAATGTTTTAAAATCTGTTTTTATAACAGTGCTTCCCAGTAATTTCCTGTTTAGAAAGTTCAAAATTCTTCCATTTTGAAAGTCATGGATATCTTTTTGATTGTGTCTGTTGTTAAGTGCAGGAACTACTTTGTAACTTTAAGTAGACATCATCTCAAGTCTACAACAATTATCCAAAATGAGATCTAATGACCTTTCTAGGTTTTCAGACACTATTAATGCAGATTGTAGCCACTAGGTCCTGAGGATTGTACTTGACATTGGTTACTGAAACTGAGCTTTCTTGAATTCTTTTTCTTTCCACTGTGGTTTCTCGCATTTCAGCATATCGCCTATTTTTGTCCTCAAACTTCACTGAAATATTTTCAATGGAATTAAATTAAAGAGGAATCATCCCTCCCATGATTTTGAAATGACCCTTTGCTTCCTATAATAATGATTCTTCTGGTCATTTTTGTAATTACTTATGTTAGAGTTTGTAAATATTCATACGTTTTACAATCGCATATAATTTTCTTCTTAATTATATTTTCCTCTTTCCCTAAAGTTGTCATTATTTCTCTTAACTCTTTGTGGGAAAAATTAAGCCCATCTTTCACTTTCTGGATATCCTTATTTATAATTGAACTCTGATTTTTGCTCAAATTGCGTTTCAAGTTACCCACTTTTAGGGAAGCTATTAGTGTATCAAGTTTTTTTTGTTTTTGTTTTTTTTAAAGTCTGTTAATATAAAGATCATCAAAAGATCTCTTCCTAAACCTTTCCTCTACCAGAAATATCTCTGGAGTCACATTGCCCTTCTTCCCTTCTTGCTTTTGTAGGACTCCAAAGCTAATCTCTTCCTGATCCAGATTGCATGCATCTGTGCCTTTTGGGGGCTCTTGCGCATTCATTCTTTCTTTTAACCTCAAAAATGTGTTTTCTCTGTTGGCTCTTCCCCTTTAACGTAGAAGTATGCTCATGCTTTTGTTGAATCTTGAAATAAAAGGCTTCCTGTAGCACATATCTCCGTTTACTACTACTACATCTCTCTTCTCAGCCAAATACTTGGGAAGAGAAGCCCTTAGTTTGTGTCATTGTTTTCTCACCTCCAGTTCACTGCTTTACCCACTGCCTGACATGTAGCTCACTCTCACACATGCACAAGCCCAATCACTAAGTTGCCATAGCTGATTTGTAGCTTTCATGCCCTTCTAGCAAAATTTGACTCTGTGCATTGGGATATTACTTACTGAGTGGCTATTGACCAGGCACTGTGCTAGGTGCTGCTGTTACAGAATGAAATCAGACATCATCTTCTTTCTAATGACCCACAGGAGCAGCCATTCCTGATTGCTAAGCAGGTCTATTGACTCTGAGTGCTCACTTTTGCAAGCTTTACTTAATGTCATGTAAATCACTCTGTTCTCCAGGTCTTCTTTCTTTCCAATTCTCCTTACTATACACAACTTCTCAAGGCAATCACTTCCATGCCCATGGCTTCAGTTGATTATTCTCTGAGGATAATAGAATTTTAAATTTAAAATGTTAGCTTTATTTTATGTAAATTCCTCATTTGCTATAACCATAGATTCAGAGTTACTCCATGAAAGCAATAAATAAAAAATGGTGATATTCTTAGCATGTAAATTTTAGGAAATTTCCCGTTACTCTTAATGGTTGGATTTAGTATTTGTGCTATTTTTGAAAACATGTGTTTGGATGTCACAAATGGACTTAGCCTACAGTGATTTATATTCAACCTTGGCCAGAGAATTCCATTTTAATGTGACACTGAGCGTAAAAAACTGTCTTTTCCTCCTTAGCGATTTCTCTTCCTACATTCTCTGCCAGGAGAAAGGTACAACTCTGTAGCCGGTCTTCCCCAGCAGAGCCTGAGCAGCCCTGTTTTTCCCTCTACTTCCCTGCTTTCACATCTCATGACGAAGCACGTCCTATTCTGTCTCCCCAATAATCACAAAATTTTTTCCTCCACTTTTTTCACTGCCACTGCCTTTAGCATCAGTCTTTCTTTAGATAGTTTCTTAATTGGTCTTGTTGCTTCCTTCAGTCCTTCCTTATTATACAGACCACTACACACACATCTGACAGAGACTCCTCACCTTTGTATGGTTCAATGACTCAAATTTTCAGAATAAAATTAAAACTACCCCAGTGTCAAATTTGGGGCCAAATAGAGGTGGGTTTGTAACTCAGGTTCATACACTGTTCAGTAATGTGGTCTCACAAAACTGAACTTCTTCAGCCTTTATGTATCTGCCTACCCTCATTGAGATTGGGACTGTTTCACACATACAGTGTCTGGCATGTAAAAGGGACTTCATCAATGCTGAATGAACAGGAGGCATTTTAAAATTCACATCAAAAAAATATTTTTAAAAATGCCAGTCTATAATGTCACTTCCCCTCCAAGCTTGACTTCTACTTGTACTTTCTGATATGGTTTGGTCATGTCCCCACCCAAATCTTATCTTGAGTTGTAATTCTTATAATCCCCACATGTTGTGGGAGGAACCCAGTGGGAGATAATTGGATCATGGTGGCAGTTTCCTCCATGCTGTTCTTGTGATGGTGAGTGAGTTCTCATGAGATCTGATGGTTTTATATGTGTTTGACAGTTGCTCCTTCACATGCCCACACTCTTTGGCCTGCCGCCATGTAAGAAGTAACTGCTTCCCCTTCTGCTATGATTGTAAGTTTCCTTAGGCCTCCACAGCCATGTGGAATGTGAGTCGATTAAACTTCTTTCCTTTCTAAATTACCCAACCTCAGGTATTTCTTTATAGCAGTGTGAAAATGGAATAATGCACTTTCTGATAATCACGCTTGAGGAATTGGGGAATTCATAGTACCTGAGATCAAATAATGGCCCCAGCCTTGGCAGTCATGTGACCTTGGGGAGATAACTTACCTTCTCCATCTCAATGTCTTCTCTAAAACTGGTGAGATTATTTCTGAGGGCTAAATCAGCATAGCCCACTTGGAACACTGTCAGGCACATACTGCTTGCTAGGTGTTCAGTATTCATTTTTATTGAGTTAGGACTGTGGTAACCCACTTTACAGCTCTTCATTTTGTATAACAAAGTCATGCTTAGTGCTTTCTTAGTAAAAGAGAAAAAATCGGAAAGTCCCTGCCATGGAAGAAAGAAACGGGAGAAAAGGAAGTTGGTCAGTTTCAGCACTTTAGAGCTTGGGGGGACAAGTTAGGTTTCTATTTTATGGAGAAGGAGGTGGAGGCAGGATGGGTTCTAAGGTGTCATTCAAGACACATAGCCATAACTCTTTAGTGAGAGTAGAGCTCGGGCCCCAGGGATTGCTGTGGTCAAGTTGCAGACAAAAACTACCACTCATTGGAAGACAGGAGAGGAATATTTCAGGTGTATCTACATTGAGTCAACAAATAAAAGTTCAATTTGGTTGCTAATGGGCCCCACTCTGCTAACTGCCACTTTGTATAGAACTCCTAGAGGAAGATGGCTTCTAGTAATGAGCCACCCTGTTTTTAGGACTAAAAAGCTCAGGAAGCTGGTGGGTGATGAATAAAAACCTTACTTCCACTGGCACTGAAGGAGGGGCCAGGAGAGCAGTGGCATCATAAGCCACAGGGTGGGGCAGCCAGGGCAGCGGGGGAGGGGCGGCAGTAAGGCTGGGGCATTGTGAGGTGTGGGGCGGGGCATTGTGAGTCACGTGCCTGGGCTTCTACCTGGGCCAGTGGGCTTCAGTCTGTAGGTGACTGCAGGAGGAGGAGCCGCTCCTTTTGTACTCTCTTCAGGCAGTTGTATCTCTCAGTGCTTGTTGGGTTCCCAACCTATTAAATTAGCCATCTGTTTTTGACCCTCCCAGACAAGTCAACTCAGGAGAGGCGGCAGGGTGCGGGCCTTGGCCCGAGCCCCGGCTGGGGCCGGGCTGTGGGGTGGGCAGGCGAGCCGCAGGCAGGACCATCTCTGAAAGTGCGGCATAGCCTCGGCCTAGGGCAGCAGGAGTGCCTGGCCAACACTGTGAGCGGAGGCACAGGTAGCGGCAGACAGGAGTAGAGGTGCCCCATGGGGAACATACTGAGCTGCTGTGTGCGCCCCAAGGTCTGCGAAGAATCGGACCAGGATGAGGGCTCAGGGCGTCCTCCTGAATCTGAAATCTGTGAGGCAGCAGCTGAGGACACGACAGCAGCTGAGGAC